AGAATTGACAACCAAAAAAATTGAGTTGATGAGTTTTTCAAAAATATCTCCGAAACTAAGAGAGCGAATTTTTACGGAAAATTTGGGGGAGAGGCAGGTTTTATTGAATTCTCAATGTACAACTTCCCCCCTCCCTTAGTTTTCCACAATTTTTCCGTAAAAATTCACCATCTCTCTTAGTTTCGGAGATATCTTTGAAAAACTCATCGATTCTATTTTTTTGGTTGTGAATTCTCAATGCACACCTCCCCCCCTTCCCCGCCCGAAATTTTCAATAAGAATTCGCTATCTCCCTTAGTTTCAGAGATATTTTTGAAAACCTCAGACTCAATTTTTTTGGTTGTGAATTCTAAATTCTGTATGGAGTACTTACGTCCTTTAAGTACCTCGACCAGCAATTTTTTAGTTCAATCTGAAAATTTGTTTGAATTAATAAAAATTCAGCATTGGTTTTAGACAATTTTTGTTCTCGAAAACAACTTCCAAAATCGTTAGTTTTTTTGATCCCATCAAGGATGAAGCTTAAGAATTGGAGTTTCGAAAATCGAGAAACTAGTTTCTAAAGCTAATCCACTTTTGTTTCTCTGTGCTGTACCTGCCTCTCCCATGTAACACTCGAGAGTACACGGGATTCTTCCAATCACTGCCCTGTTGGACCCTTAAAAATAAAGATCGCTTCAGTTCCCTAATTTAGATTTTTTTTTGGAGATACGTTCTTCCGTTACGAATACGTAATACACAAGCGTAATACAAACATTTTGAGAGTTTTTACAATGTTCCGAAATGTACGAATCTGGATTAAAAATTGAGATCCGCTGTTCACACAAATAATGTTATTAAGTTGCCGATATAATTATTTGACCATAATCAAAGACAGCGATAACTTCAAGTGACATCAACTGGAATATTGAAGGTATAACTTGTCCACAGAACTGGAAATTAAAAAATCCCAAATTTTGTCTTTACGACCTTTTACTTTTAGGTCAGTCTCGATTTCTAAGGATAGAAATTACAGGCAAAAGGACGTACATGATTTAAAAAACTGGAAAATTTTGCCAGTACGACCTTTTGCTTTCAAGGAATTTTTCATTTCTGGTGACATAAGTTAAAGGCAAAAGATCGCAAATGCAGCTCATCATCAATTTGAAAATGTAGGTATTATAATGTTTCTCCAGTATTTTCACGCAGAATTGTAGAAAGAATAAGTGGAGATACCACCTTTNTTGCTTTCAAGGAATTTTTCATTTCTGGTGACATAAGTTAAAGGCAAAAGATCGCAAATGCAGCTCATCATCAATTTGAAAATGTAGGTATTATAATGTTTCTCCAGTATTTTCACGCAGAATTGTAGAAAGAATAAGTGGAGATACCACCTTTTCACTTTAAGAAATTCGGAAAGTAGCTTTTTGGCGTTTACGACCTTTTGCTTTTAGACACGCGATATGAAAAAAATACGCCATAATGGAAGAGCGAAGCAATGCACCGGAAAAAATTTTTTGTGTTCGAAATTTTTGGGTTTTTCTGTTTTTAGGGGAGATCCATCGGTTTTTTTCAAAGAAATCAGTCTGTCAACTATTATTCTTTATTCATATATGATGGCAAAAGAGTACGCCATTATGTAAAAGAAAAAGAATGCTACGAAAAAATTTTTCTTCGAAATTTTTACGTTTGTCTGTCGTTTAGGAGAGTTGCATTATTGTTACTGAAAAAGGGGTTTCTGAATAGACATTTTCTGTTCTGTTGGAAAGAATAGCCTATTGATACGACTATAAATCTTTTCTCAACAACACACTGTGCTTTCCACTAACGAAAAAGTATGGGAAAAAAACAATTTTTATTCTTCTATAAAGACAATATTTTATATTTTCACATTTTTACAATACGGAGAAATTCTTCACTCTCTTCGACGACAAGTTCCAACATGCACTGATGACTTATTTACATCACGATTACAGTCTTCTGCGGGTTTTTCGTTTTGTTGTTGTTTGTTTTTGCTTTGGGAAAACCTCCTCGTTAGTTGAAGCCGAATATCGTTTAAATAACAATTGCTCTCCCGGTATCGGAATAGAACAATGGTGTTTTTGAATGGCTGGAATAGCTTTGGCACTATCAAATCTCTCTCTCAACTTACTTTTGATATTCCCGTGTTCTACCTCGGTGAAAAAAAAACATCAATTCCTTTAAAATTGTCTTTTGACCATCGGAACAAAGCATCTGGCGTGAGGATTGGTTCACAATTAACGATTTGCAAGCTCTTACGTCTCGTTTCTCTCTTAAAGACAGCTCCTACTCCGTCACAAGCTCCTTTACCGTGCGCGGTTGCATGAAAATGGGCTTCCGCATCTATGCCAAAATCAGTCTTGTGATGCAAGAGATTCGTGATCTGAAAACGATTCTTGTAATATTGTGCAGCTCCATCGGTGACATAGATAATTTTCTCCACGCTTTCACAGTTGTCTGTCACATGCTGGATTAAAATCTTCTGTATCAAATAAACAGCGGGAGTATCGCGAGTCATACTGTCCGACAAAACGACTAAACTCCGATGTTGGATTTCATTTTTTTCGCTATAATAGTAAACAACGCGGTGAACTGTATACTGGTTATTATTATAGTGGAAGGATTGAGCAGCATCTTGAGCCACAAAAGCGTAATTTTCCGAAAAATCACAATGCACTAATACTTCTCCATTATCCAAATCCTCTTTTCGCTGTTTGACAAAAGCCGATTGTTCTTTAACGATGAAGTGATGGAGCTTCAATACTATCAATCGTTCCATTAGAAGATCAATGAATTCATCCATCGGCAGGGTCTGTGTCTGCAAGGTACACCTATCAGTACTTTGCCACATGCGAAATTTGACCATCTCCACGACAGAATCAGAGAGAAGTTTCTTCAGTTCACATGATAATGATTTCACTCCAGGACAATCGTTACATTCGTTCAGATGACAGGCCGGGGTTGGATTTGTACACATCAATTTTGCTAGACAATCTTTGTAATCTCTGAGTGGACAGGGGGAATCTTGAATTAGAGTCGCAATATTAATTGCCTCTAGCATCAATTTGCAATTTTGATGATACGTACAAACATATACCACGTGAGCGCCATTTGCTCCCGCCACTACACATTGTTTAGGTCTCAGTTCGGCAAACTTACTGAAACCGACCTTAGCATCTTCATTCGCATATTTGTACTTCCGATGAAGGTCTTTTAGATTTTCGAGTATCATTCGCTTTTGCTCTACTTTCTTCTCTCCATTGATCTTGATGGATATTTTATCTTTCATTCCTGGCATGACGCGACTGTGCTCTAGGTAAAAATTGTGTACCTTCTCGACGGTTGTACTGGGTAGTGAATGACCTGCTTTCGCTATTGGTGAAGCAAACACTCCTTTAATTCTTCTTTTCGCTCTTGACGCCATGTATCTGGTAGTTCCAAATTTAGAATCAATTTTCCGCGCACTCCACGACTGTGGATGAACCGTTAACATTTGCAGGCGCTCACGGTAGTTTTTCAAATCTTTGAATTTCTGCTTCAAACCATCGAAAATTTCTTCCAATTCTATTTCTTCCGCAGATCGATACTGCTTAGATGATATGGATCAATGTCACTTTGGTCATCTTCCGAATCATAATCCATGGAAGAACTGTCGAATTCAGCTTCATCGTCTGGTTCGTCGTCGATTGATATGCCGGAATCATCAAGATGGAAAGATCGACCTGATCTCAGAGACCTGTTCATCACATCCAGACTTGGGTCACATGTTTGGGCTTGGAGCATTGATATATAGGGTGAAGTTTCTGAACGCTGAAGATGTGTAGCATTAAGTTTAACCGTGGGGACAGATGGAGGAATGACATAAGTTGGAGCTCTCGTTCGGCATTGACCACAGATTTTCGCAGACAATGGTAAAAAAGGAAATTTCTCGTGTAGTGTCAAGGAAATCGGACGTAAATTATAACCGAGGTGTCCCTTCTCACCAGGAGCCCGCATTGGATTCGCACATCTATCACTCCGCGGCATTCTATGAAATCCGAAGATATCAATTCCGAGAATAAAGATCATTTCTATATAATCAACGTGAAAATTCCTTACCTCGTTGCAAGAATAGAATAAGATAGGAGCTGGGTAATCTATCCACACAGAATCGTATGGTGATAAAAAATCAATCGAGAAATTTAGGTTTTTTTCTAGAATTCAAGCCTTGGAACCGACTGATGATGATAAATCAATTAATTGATTCCGTTTGTTTCTTCCCCTCATTTGTTTGATAATAATTTAGCAAACTTCCGATGATGATAATGTTCAATTCAACTATCTACCCTTCCAGTAAAAATTTCGACGAAGAATTTTTTTTTCGGCGCACTCTTTCTCCGTTACATGATGGTGTAGTTTTATTTCATCATATACGAACGAAGACTAATGGTTGACAGACTCATTTCGTTAAAAAAAAACCGATCTCCATTAAAAACTGAAAAACCTAAAAATTTCGAAAAACAATTTTTTTTCGGTGCATTGCTTCGCTCTTCCATTATAGCGTTTTTTTTTATATCATATAAGGACATCCTCTATCATAAAAACAATATTTCGATCGAATATCGAGCGGATCTAGAGTGAAAAAAAATGAAAACGCGAAAAATTCTCGAAAAACCGATCTAGGAGCTTCTTGATGGCTCTAAAGTATTTTTTATCTTGAAGTACGAGAAAAATCGAAAATTCTTTTTTTTTATGTATCAAAATCGGATGCTCCATTCAGAAGTAATGATTTTTTGAATATATCAAGTTTCATAATGATTATCTCAGAAACAAAAAGTGGCAGGGTAATGAAATTTTGCATGATCACTGTCTATATGTAGTATTTCAAAATGCACCTACTCAATGATTTTTCTCAGACAAAAAAAATCCGGTGTGGCTGAGTTGACATGAAATGTCCCATATACATTTCACCCAATTTTCACATTTTTTCATCGTGTAATTCCACTCCTTTCTTTGCTTACTTTATTAAGGATATTTAGATTTCCATTATCTTTTCTCCCCTTCATAACTGTGATCATCTCGTCAGAAACCTTCAATTGCTTCGTCTGCTCTCGAAGAACTCGTTCGTTCTGTTGTGATTGCGTGGTTCGTGTATTCAATTCCATCTCCAGTACTTTGATCCTATGTTTTAAATCAGTTGTCGTCTTTTGGAGGTCATCGTTCAGTTTCAGGATTTCAAGAGACCCATGGCTGATCTTCCCCGACTCCTGATGACTCTCCTGTTTAAGTTGAGTCAAAAGCGTGGCCGAAGCCACTGGAGTTGTGGACTTTCTTTTCTGTTGTCTGTCATAAGAAGGCATTTATAGAATGGAAATGATTTACGTTTAAGGAGTGAATGGTATCACTTACAAAGAATCTCTTTCTCTCCGCAATGTCTCAACGTTTAGCTGTAACTCCTTCACTTCTCGAGATTTTTCCTCTAATTGGCTCTTGAAATTATTTACAATCTCCAATTTTTCCATTGCGAGCTCTTCAGCTCGTTGTTGACATACCGATAATTCAACATGTAAGGTCTCCAATTGTTTTTCGAGGATTTGTACCTGTTCTTCGAGGCTAGTCATTTTCTCTTGTATCACCACTTGCTCATAATTGGACGAATCTTTCTTCAATTCAATTAGACTGAAAATTATTATATGAATCAATGAACATTCATGAATGAGAGAAAAAATGATTCAACGAAATAGTAAAAGTACATTATTTGAATAATTTCATGTAAATCGAGCTTGAAAATGTCTTGAAAATAACTGAATTTCAGAGGGGGGGCGAAGCCAGTACAACTAGAAAATCTGCTATGGCTAAATAAACCTGTCGAGCGACTTTTGATATATGACAGGATATCCGAAAAAAGTGGGAAACATGTAGAAATAAACCAGTTTAACCCCATCATGGTAAAACTTGATTTTTCGACTTCTTAACTTCGCGACCAGTAGGAAGGAAGTTGTAATGACACCGAAAATCGAATGTGGGTATTTCATAATACCTCCACGCTTCATGGCCCCTAGAATCATTCTGGGACATTTTTGGGGGCATGTGCGCGGGTGTGTGCGTGTGTGTGTTTTTTTAATGTCTGTTGGGAGAATGCATTTACGCATCCCCACTTGCGGGAGAGAATGCTAGAGATTTTCTCCGACAACTAGAATATGTCGGGCTCGGTTCACAAGGACCAATACCGACTAAATTCCAATCAGACAATTTCACTAACCTTTTACTTCCCTCGCGGCACCACCGTTAAGTATTACTTCGCGAGGGAGGTTTCAGCTGTTTGCTCTTCCACCTTATTTTTATCTAATGTACTTTCCCCTGTCCCGCTGAGATGTTGTGTGCGAGGAGGAGGTTCCATTATATTCCTCGTTTATTGGGCAGCTTTCCGATTGCGTTCTTCATTCCTGAGCTCCTTCATGACCTCCGCCACGAAGTTGCTCGTTGCGTCCCAGGCTGCCTGCGACGACAGCATGGCTTCTATCAGATTCTCAGGCAGGACTTCCCTTTCGAGGGCTGATTCCAAAGTACGCCGGCTCTCACTGAAAGGGGGGTATCTAAAAAAGACCTACTCCGACTCCTTGTCGACTTCTGTGCAGACTGGGCACTTCGGGGAATCCTCATGTTTGAATTGATGAAGATACGCCCCGAAGCAACCATGTCCCGAGAGCATTTGCGTGAAATAATAATTAACCTCACCATGGGTACAGTTTAACCAATCACCTACCTGAGGGATAAGACGGTGTATCCATCTCCCTTTCATAGGGGTGTCCCACTTCCGCTGCCATTCCTGCAGACTCTTCTGCCTCTCTTCTGCATTGAGTTCTACTGCGCTCAGTGCTTTCGATTTCCTCTACTGGTACAATGACCTTCGTTTTTCGGCCAATATTTCTATGGGGAGCATCCCGGCGATGACGCACCCTGCATTCTCGGATACTGTACGGTTAGCGCTCGCAACTCGGCGAGCACTCAATCCATAGACTTGTGCAAACTTCCGCCGTGCTTCCTGCAACTGCAATGCATCAACCCAGATGGAAATGCCGTAAGTAAGCACGGATAACAGCACGGCTCGTTGACCACCGATAACAGCACGGCTCGTCTTCTTTGTTTAGGACTTCCTATATTGGGCATGAGGCGCGACAAAGCGAACCTGACTTCAGAAGTTTTAGCACCAACGTGCTCGGTTTGCTGCTTGAAATTGAGTCGGGCATCGATCATCACCCCTAGGTATCGGATGAAAGGTTGAGAAGTAATTTCGTAGGACCCGACCTGCAGCGTTATTGTTTCGATTTTCTTTCTGCTGGTGATCAGCACGGCTTCCGTTTTGTACCCTGCCAGTTTCAGTCCCACGGCGTCCATACAATGGCGGAACGTCTTCAAGATGGTGTCGAAGCTGTAATTGATCTCTGTTAAGTATTTGGCCACGAGGACTACAGCCACGTCATCTGCGAATGCCACGAGCTTGGTTTCCCGTATCAATCCGAGCTTCAGCAGTCCGTCATACATAATATTCCATAACAAAGGACCCAGTACTGAACCTTGAGGTACACCTCCGGTAACTCGGTACTCCTTGGATCCACACTCCGTATCGTACTTAAGGACGCTTCCAGTGAAATAGCTGCCAATTATTCTCTGCAAGTATCTCGGTACATTGCATTTCGATAATGCCTCGATGATACGGTCCCATTTGGCGGAGTTGAACGCATTCTTGATATCTAGCGTGATTACCAAGCAGTACTTCTTTGTGCCATTTAGCCATCTTTTCCCTGAGATCGTGTCCCTGGCTGTGTTGACGACCATATTGATAGCGTCTACGGTGAATCGGCCTTTTCGGAAACCATATTGTTTCTCGGCCAACAAGGGTTCGACTGCTGCTTCTATCCTTTGGTGGACGATACGCTGGAGGACTTTGCCAGCGGTATCTAGCATGCAGAGGGGACGGTATGATGAAGGGTCCTCCGATAGTTAATTCCCTTTCGGGAGCAATACTAGTCTCTGCTGCTTCCACATGGTCGGGAAGGTACGCTTCCTTAAGCACTCGTTGTAGACGTTCAAGAACAGATCTGGAATCGCATGAATAGCTGATTTTGGCGCGATATTGGGAATTCCATCAAGGCCAAGCGCCTTGGTATTACCCACTCTGTTGCAGACTTCCATCAATTCTTCTTTGGTGATTGGTGGAACCATTAGCTCTCTTTCCAGTTCGCCAGTGCAGTGGAGCTCTGGCTGTTGCGAGGACAACACCGTAACGATTCTCTCCATTAGCACGGGGCATGTAGGCGCTGACATTGGTTGACTCTTGAGTCGCATCATCACCACCTTATACGGTCTCCCCCATAGATCACCTTCCACCTCATTAAGCAGCTCACTCCAGGATGGCTTGTTATTGCTTTTGATCGCTTTGCTGAGCTTCCAGCGTGCCTCCTTTTATTGCATTTCCAACTCCTCAAAGTTTGGCTTCTTACGGCTACGCTGGGATAATCTTCTGGCTACGTTACACTGTTTCCGTAGGACGACGATCGTGTCATTCCACAAATACACCGATGGATGCAGGTTTGTGGTACGCTTCCTGGACATGGTGGCATCGCAGGCTTCTGTCAGTCTCTTCATGATGTTATCTGCCGTTTAAGTAGCATTGCTGCCACTGATCGGGCTGTCGTCCAATGATATCGAATCGAAGCTAGGATCGAAACTGCTCACTCTCCAGCCAATGCAGTTGGTCTTCTTAGTACGAGTACGTAGCTCCCAGAGAATCGCACGGTGATCACTTGCTGTGTAGACATCCGCTACTCTCCATGAACAGTTCCCCTTTGCAAGGGTGCTGCTCACGAAAGTAATGTCCACAATCGAGCACGTCTCTCCCCTCATAAAAATGGGTTCATCGCCACTGTTCCTCAGAACAACATTGAACGCTGACATGGCTTCCTCTGGTGTTCGTTTCCTTACTACCCCAGTCGACTGCCCAGGTATTGAAGTCCCCGGCTATTGCAACAGGAAAGTACTGTTTCGCATCCTCAGTCAGTCTTTCTAGAAAGTCCGTGAATTCTTCAATGGAAAGGCTCGGTGGAGCGTAGCAGCTGTAGAAATGAATTCCATCAAACTTAGCCTTGATGAAGCCATCATGTATACCGTCGCTCGTAGTGCTCTGGAGTTGCCGCATTCGACAAGCCCAGATTACAGCTTTCCTGCTGGCATCAGTAATCCAGGATTGAGTGCCGACATGTCGATACGGTTCCGAGATCATGGCAAGATCCAGATTCAACTCTCGCACCGTCTGCATAAGCAGGCCATGTGCGTCCTCACAATGATTGAGATTGAGTTGGAGTGTCTTCATCGTCGCTTATTGAGTACTTTCTGGAGTGCCTCCTTATAAACTGGGCATCTGCCACTACCAGCGATGTGGGCACACTTCTCCGTGTTACCTTTCTCAATGCACAGAGCGCATCGCGGCTTCTTTTTGCAGTCCGTAGCTTAGTGGCCGGTTGCTGAGCATTTAGCGCAGAATTTAGAATGGTCTACTTCGCTTCTACATCTAGTAACGAGATGTCCATAGTGCTAGCACTTGAAACACTTCACTGGTCTCTCCACTCTTCTAATATGGCAATTTTCTGAGCCAAACTTGATTTTCCCGTGCTCTTCCAGGATCTTTCCCGCTGTAGTTTCCGCGATGGTCACTGAGGCAGTTTGAGTTCCTCTATATGCCTTACGTAAGTACTTGATGGTATCTAGGCTAATTTTGTGTTCCTCTCCCGCTGCTGCTTTCAGAGCTTCAAGGATATCCTCCTTCGTTGTAGTTTCATCGAGGTCTTCAATCTCGAGATCTGCATGTAGCCCCTTATTGAGCACCTCGGCCTCATCCCCGAGAAGACCAGCGATGGTTTTGTATAACCGAAGGGCTCCGTCGGCTTACTTCCTGCTTATTATGATGAGCGTATCACCGGTACTTGTCCTGCGAATTTTGTCGACGCATGCACGGGCCTGGTCTATGAGGAAGTCCCGCTTAACTCGGGTGAGCATCTCCGAGTACTTGTCCTTTGCCTTAGGACGGATAATCAACGCAACTCGTCTAAGCGCTGGTTTCCGGGGTGGCTTCTTCCCTTTTTCTTTCTTCTTCATGAAGGGCGGCTTCTGAAGCTGCTCTGCTAGGAGTCTCTCCCTTCTTTCCCCCTTCTTGGTTCTTACCTGCACCCAAACGAGTGGGTCAGTACCAAGCTTTACCGCCGGAACTAGCTTGTTAACTAACTCTTGCTCTTTCAACTCCTGCGATTTTTGGGTTTCGTCTCAGAGGAACCCTTCGAACGCTTCCTGCGTTGTGTCTTACGGATGTCTCGAGCATTTTGCACGTGCTGCGATCCATCTCCCGAGTCCTCTATCTCCGAATCCTTCACCGTTGTTTCGGAGTCCATTCGTAAGCGCAGTAGTGGTGGCGCTAGTAACTGAGGAACTGGGCCAGCGACAGCGCACTGAGTTCGAGTGCGTGATTCCTCCAGTTTTTTGAGCCTTTAAAAGGCGTTGCCAAGCAAAGCCACCTTAGATTTAATTTCCTTGTGGACATACAACTTAGGTTGGACAAACTCATGTAAATCTGCGATGAGCTTATCCAGCCGCGCCTATGCTAAAGAGCACTCGTTCTCCTGATGAGCCTGTGACTCTACCCCACTTGTAACTTTTGAGGCCAAGTGGTCCACCTTGGAAGAAAGTGATGATTGGCTCCTCTGTTACATCGTAACACATGTGAGAGCTTGAGGCTGCGTTCGCATGCTGGCGACAAGCGGTGGCAGCACCTTACAAGCGCCGTTTTCGCTTGCTTGTGCGCGCATCGACGGCTGCAAGTGGCGTCAGAGTAAAAACCGACACTGAAGCGTGTGTAGAGAGCTAACAAAAATCCAAAATTTAAGGAGTCATCTTGATTTGAAACATAATTAAACCAAGAACATCAGCAACTTAAATAACAAATAATAAATTTAGTGCACTAGTTAACAACCATTCAAAGCAAGGTGACTGAGAACTCGCAACAAAAGCAAACGAACCATCATTGGCACTGAATCACGCAGTTTCGTGTCCCCACGTGGTACAAAAGCCACGCTCCCAAGGACGCAATTAACAAATTGCGCCAAACAACCCCCAAATTAACGTATGTAATCAAAGTGTTAGTTTAAGTTCATTATCTATATGATTGGACGTGTGCTAGCCGTTGTTCTTGAATCGTTAACCTACAAACTACATTCTGTTGTATGTGTGTGTGTGTGTGTGTGTGTGTGTGTGTGTGTGTGTGTGTG